TTTTTTAAGTAAAAAGTAAAGTAAAAGTAAAGTTAAGGTTTAAAAAAATGTCCCTATTTTTGAGAGACATAAAAAATGGTGCCCTTGCTTTTTAAAAAATTATATCTTCGTTCTGTATATTTGTTTGAGTATCAAATGTCAAGTTGTGGTACCTCTAATGTGTGGACATATCTATGAAACAAAAGATTTGGAGTAGATGCCTATGGTGTGTAGACACAGATTTTTAAAAGACGTATAATTCTAAAGTATAACGTAAGATATAACAATTTTTTAAAGTATGTGTTGCCTTTAATGGGTAGATGAAATATGAAGCAAAAGGTGAACGTTTTATACCTCTGATGTATGCATATATAGATAAAACGAAATGTTTGTGTTACCGCTAATTAAATTGTAAACGTAAAACGTGAGTATGTTACTTCTGAAGTGCAGACATAGAACGAGTGCGTTACCTCTGATGTGTAGAATAAAAATAAGTGTGTTGTGTCAGATGTATGGACATAACAAGTGTGTTAGATCTGATGTGTAGACATAACAAGTGTGTTAGATATAATGGGTAGACATAACAAGTGTGTTAGATCTAATGTGTAGACATAACAAGTGTGTTAGATCTAATATGTAGACATAACAAGTGTGTTAGATCGGATGTGTAGACATAACAAGTGTGTTAGATCTAATGGGTAGACATAACAAGTGTGTTAGATCTAATGTGTAGCAATAACAAGTGTGTTAGATCTATTGTGTAGACAAAACAAGTGTGTTAGATCTAATGTGTATATATAACAAGTGTGTTAGATCTAATGTGTAGACATAACAAGCGTATTACCTCCGATGTGTAGACATAGATGCCTTGATAGACACCAGTAATGACGGCTCGTGCAGTGAACAGGAAAAAAGTCAAGGTGATTCTGTGGGAGAATCAGAACAGTGTGGCAGGATGTGAAAGATCAATTATCAGAACCGTCAGAGAAAGACAAGTGATATTCTTTGGCCACATAAAGAGATCAAATGGACTGGAGAAGCTGCTGCTGTGTATAAAAAAAAGAGAGAAAAAATAGCAGAGGAAGATAAAGAACAACATACATTGTACACAGATGGCCGGAACAATTTTGCTACGAATAAAACAAACCGGCAAAGAGAAAAACCGAGCTAATCAAGAAGACAGACAACAGGAAGGAACGTCAATATCTGCTCCAGACCTGACACCTGAAGAAGAAAAGTAGTGTGATGGTGGTGATGGTGGCAATGGTGGCGATGGTGGTGGTGGTGGTGGTGGTGGTGGTGGTGGTGGTGATGGTGATGGTGGTGGTTGTAGTACAGGTCATTGAGGTGGTGGTAGTGGTGCTGGTGATGTTGTTGTTGTTGGTGGTGGTGGTAGTGGTGGTGGTGATGATTGTCATATTACTGGCGGTCGCGTAGATGGTGATTTTGATGTTGTTGGTGGTTGTAATGGTGGTGTCATGATGATGGCTGTCGTGATTGAGGCGGTGGCGGTCTTAGTGGGGTGGTGGTTGTGTGGTGTCGGATGTGGTTGCTGTGGTGATGATGATGGTGAGTTAGTGGTGGAGGAGGTGGCGGTGGTTTTGGTGGGGTGGTGTTCGTGGTTGTGGTGATGGTGGCGGTGTGGTGGTGAATAGACCCGTGAATTTATCTCTTGGGTGATGATGGAGGTAGTAGTGGTGGTAGTGCTGCTGATGATGATGATGGTAATGCAGCTCGACGAAACAGTAGATTAATCTGTTGTGAGGAGTATCAATATGAATCGATGGATGGATATGAGATGGCTGGATGGATGGATGGACGGATGGCTGGATGGATGGATGGATAGATGGATGGATGGATGGATGGATGGATGGATGGATGGATGGATGGATGGATGGATGGACGGATGGTTAGGCGCTTCGCTATCTCACGCAGGAGACCGAATTCTTTTCCAAAGTGGAAAGAAATGTTCTTGTTCACTGGGCGAACCGTCATTACGAGCGTCAATCAAGACATGTATGTGTACACTTGAGCGGTTGCACACATGTGTACACACACTTCTTTGTTTATACGACCCAATGCTTGGTATAGTATTTCCCCTTCGAATATGAAAATAGCAAGTTCAGATGTGACATAGGTGATACAGGAAGGCCAAATTAGATCTATGTGACGTGCTGTTTCAAATTTGAATGTAGTGCACACAAATGTGAAAATTGCCATTTCAAATGTGAAGAAAAGTGTGTAACATAATAAGTGCAAAAGTGACAAGGGTGTAAAGGCTTTCAAAGCAACAACTCCCCTACTCCTCTTTCTCTAGTGGAGACACTGTTTTTAAATGGTTTTAGGCAAATACATTAATGGAATGTCCCTTCTCATCCATAGATCCCAAGCACATAAAATTTAGGGAAACTTGCATTTGCGTGAAAATGTCTTTTCTTCCAAAGAAGGCAGGCAAAATGAAATACGTCAGCATACCCGTACCCCTAAAATACGCTTGCATCTTTGATGTACTAACCACTTCGGGCGATTTGTGTTAAGGTTGCCATCCTTTCTTCGTGGTGCTGATTCGGGAGTTTGCGACAAATTTCGGCCACTCTTTCTTTTGTTTGTGCCTTCCACAAAGCAAATACATTTTTTTCACGTATTGAAAACAGAGCAGAAAGGAGGCAGACAGGGGAGAACAACATTTTGAAGGCATTTGCAGGTTGGCTGCTTGCCTATGAGCAGATGCATTATCTACGATGAAAATTGCATCCACCGTAGATCACCTGTTATTCCTCCTTTACAGCTCATGGTATATGAGGCCACCAACATTATTTACACCAAATGTCCCTGGAAACTGCTCCAGTCCCTCGGCGAGATCGTCCACGTGTTTTTTTATCCGCAGGTATACGCCTGACTCGTCATTGTAGATAGATTCGCTGACTTGAATAAAAATCAATTTATGCTGGAGTTTTTACGCCCCCATCGATACAATTCAGGAGGTGGGCTTTTGACCCTGCCTGTCAGGGCCAACCCGCGCAGAGAGGAATACATCCCAACAGAAAGACCGAGATACTCGTTTAAATTAATTATCTCCCTCTCGGAAATCGATTTCGGGTCTCCTGCGTGGGACAGCCAAGCGCCTTAGCGCTTTACCACAGACGCCGGTTAGCTGACTCGTACATAATGCATCAGTCATTTTGCATATCAATTCCTATTGCAGTTGGATTTTCTATTTCTTTCAGCAAGAGCCAGGTTGCATTGTGAAAGAGGTGCTTGAGGGAAGGATGTAGGGCAGAGAGCCAGGGGAAGACAAAGAATAACTGGCCTGGATAAGGCAGAATGCCCAATGGCAGCTCGTGACCGTGAACTTTTGGGTCAGAGATGACACTTCCTGGTATCCAGGTATGTTGCATATGAAGGATGCAGATCCTTAGTGCAGCCTGAATTTCTTTCAGAGAGTGTGCCTTCTAACTTGTTCATGGTACTCGGAAGCCCGTCAAAATTGTGCTGATGGCTGTCCAACTTACATGGCAAGACTGACAAAGTCAGACTCTGACTGAGGTATTTTAACGTCTCCATAGACACAATTTAGATCATGCAAAGGCTGGCTACTGATCCTGCCTATCAGGCTGAGGGGGGGGGATACAATGTCCCAGTAGAAAGACAGATTGATGATAATCGATGAAAGTTTCTCCACATTGGGGAATCGAGCTCAGGTTTCCTGAGTGCCATAGCGAAGAACCTAACCGCTACACCACGGACTCCGGCGCAGACTCTGAGTTCTCCATTGGTCATACCAATAATAAAGTCAGGTGCCTGTCAACAATGTCTCAGACAACGGTTCTCATGTCGTCAGACACATATCATTGTTTCAGTCTCAGTATTACTTGGCTCTCTCTCTCTCTCTCTCTCTCTCTCTCTCTCTCTCTCTCTCTCTCTCTCTCTCTCTCTCTCTTCGCTCTTTTAACAATATCTTAGGCAGTTGTACAGTTTACACCTACCAAATATGCAATTTGTAAGAAGTCCTCACCTCCTAGATATCATGCTTTGTAAATGCGGGTTTGTCTGCATCAGCGCTTTTTGAGTAACCCGCCGACACTTTTCCTTTCTTCACAACATAATTTACAATTTCTATTGCATCACATATTTTTAGCGTGTAAAGTCACATTTGAAAAACAAATTGTGTTCAATTTAAAGGTGCTATGCTCATATTTAATCTTACAGGGTACATCACAGTGTTTATAAAATAGGCGTCACATTTAAAATTCTAGTGTCACAAAACTACACCAATGTTAGATTTGCTCTTGCTATGTCGTATTTGAACTTGCTAAATTCACATCAATTGAATGAGAAATATTAATAGAAAGATTGAAAAACTAGGGAAGGTGTGGCCAAAAAGAGAAATAAATAAATGGAGTCGGAGAACCGGTAAACAATGACGGTCAAAAATTCGCCCGGGGAACCGCGACTGCGCTAAGCGAATACCTTGTCGTGGTAGTATTGATTATGGTATTGATACACCTGCGGCCCGCCTAAAAAAATCGTCTTTAAACATTGAAAATTACGTCCTATCGGAAAAATAATATCAAATTCGGGACCAATGAATCAAAATCAACCAAATATCTCGCGCGGATTTAGAAGCTGAAACTGAAAAAAAAAGAAAAAGATTTCTCCTTTTTTTAAACCAAAACTGTCAATTCTAACTGATCTTGTAATAGGCCCCAAAGTATGATTTGGGAGAGGCCAGCTGGGACGCTGAATCTTTTTGAAGTTTGTCTCCTCGCGGGATTAAACTTTGCTTGCATAATTTTAAAAACAATCACCGCTGCTAAAAACGTATTTTATTTTCGGAATCAGGGTATCAGAATAAACCAAGTGGCTCAAGTGGAACCTGATTTGATGCCATATTTAAACTTAAGCAAATTGTATTTTTGGCATTGTCAATTTTGAATCTAGTCATGTCTCAAAACCACGAACTGCATTACGCATCTGGCGTCAAAACTGCTATATTCCTACACACTGCACAGTCACTGTACTGTGTACAGTATGCCACTTGGTCGAAAGACGCTTTTATTTTTTTACTGAGATATAGGGGCCTACAGACCCCACGAATGTCTGTGGACGATTAAGTCCTGAAACAAATCATTAAGAGAAGGTGCACAAAGAATATACATCATTATTGAAACAGTTTGATTAATTAAGATTCAAATAAAGATATCGAAGTCTTAAAAATTTAAAAAAACCTCATGTCAACAGTGTGAGTTAACAAATTTCGCTTTAAAAGCTAGTCTTTTGTCCAAATTTGACATCTTTTAAACTTAAAAGTCGAGATGAATTATAATGTGTTTTGCCTAGCTGTATTCGATGCTGTAGGTGATTACACCTAGTTATACTTTCACAAAGTAATAGAGTAAAATACTGTTCCCCGGTCGCTGTTTCCTCAATAACGATGACGTCAGCAGTCGCTGTTCCCAGGCGCAGCCAGAAGTGATGATTGAGGGGAACAGGGACTGGGTGAAAAAGGCGGCAGAAGGAGTTTTTACGCCCCCGTCGACACAGTTGAAATTATTTAATTGGCGGGCTCCAGGCCTCACCTATCAGGGCCTACCCGGACTGAGAGGGATACGACATCCCACGAGAAAGACGGCGATACTCGATAAAAAATTTCTCCCCACTCGGGAATCGAACTTGCGTCTCCTACGCGTGACAGCGAAGCGCCTAATCATTACAGTACATACGCTGGTGGAAGTGAATAATCAGACAGACACATACTTACAAATAAACATTAAACAAGTCACCTTTTCAGTACTCAACACCCACTCCAGAAGTTGGCGTTGAATCGTTAGCAAACGAAACCTACCCAGCAACCTCTTCAACTCCCCTCCCCTCCCCTCTCTTCCCCACCAACCTATTGTCACTCCCTCCGAATTGCAACTATCCCTTCCCTTCCCCCCCCCCTCCCTTTTTCCATCCGAACTCCACCCAACATCCCCAACCCCTTCCACCCCCTTTCCCTAACCCCTCCCCTTTACATCCCCTCTTAGCCCATTCCAACGTTGTCCTGTTCACACAGGTTAGACTATTGCAGAAAGTTAGTTGATAATAGACGATACAGCACTAAGCTTTGACCCTTCCTCCCCTTTCCCCTCCGGTCACCCCTCCCCCCTTCAAAA